AGGTTATCAGTCTGTGATTGCTAGCTGGTTCATGTATTCTAAACAGATACCACAAAAGGGGTTTATTGTCGAATCTGAGGGATAAATTGGAACTGATCTCGAGTTAGGGGATTTGCGGAACCTTCTCTAAACAGCTTGTGACATCTGTGCCCAATAAAAGCTACTGCAAATTTTAGGGATTTTTTGCTCTATTTCTTCAAATGCTGCTGGTTACCATGCTTTTGTGAATGGTTTTGATTACAACTTCTAGGCGTGCTCATACTCTCTACTCCCCACCCTCACTCCCCAACTGCTCTTAATTGTAAAACAATTTTCTGTCTGGAATTATAATCTGTTAGAAAAGATAGAACATAGTAACAAGCTTCTTTTCCATAAGGGTGAGAACGTGAAGATGCTAGAAAGGGAAAGCCTTCGCTAAAGACAATAAGTTGGTAACACAGAGTAGCTGTGTGATAGGTGAGATATATGATATAGAAAAAGGGGATAGTGAACAAGTGGCACGGCCTAATGGAAGGACATCATGAAGCTACTAAATGATTTAGAAAAGGAGATGATTTGAGTGGTTGGTGATAGCAGAAGATTTTCTCTGTGATAAACATTGGTGTGGAGTGGATGTTTTGAAGCAGATTTCAGTAGATATATGCTACTTTTCTTTTGAATAAAACTTTAATGGTAGCTGAATTTACGAACAGAGAGAAGAACCATGGTTTTGGATTACAAAGTTATGAGAAACTTGCATGACTATCAGGAGATGGGGGAAGTTGTCTATAAATTTGCTTCATTCCTTCAATTTTCAAGAGAAAGACAAGGATTTGTGGAGAAATTTCAATTGAAAACAAGGATTTGTGTGGCATTGGGGCTGGCAGGGTAATGCTGTGTCCTTTTTCTCTTTTAAATCCTTTTGTACGTCACTTTTAATATGTAAGCGATCTTCAAATTGTGAACTCAATAGTTCCTACTTCCTAGGGAAGTCAGTTTTGCATTTGTTTGGACAATCATGGGCGTCATTCTTGCTACTGAAATTTATAGAAAGAGAAAAAAGATCCTTGTGATATGGTTCTTTACATGTAAGGGAATTCAAAGAAATCTCATCCTCGTCTTTTGCATTGAAATTTTGCTCTGAAGTTGTGGTAGGAGACGCTTAACATGTTTGGCACATGTGTGGGTCATACCAAATAGAATAAAGCAGCTGATGAGCTTTTGGAATATCGGGGGATTCAGGTGGAGCAGATTCAACAGAAGGAAAGCATGAGGCTAATAGCTCATGCTACAAAATGGACTGAATTTTGCTGGTTTTTGTATGATTGCCCCTTGTGTAGATACTTAGGTTAGCTTTCTGGAAGGAAATTTCCTTGCACAGTCCTACCATATGTGGGGTTCCTATAGGAGATTATTTCTTCTTCTAGCTATAAAATTCCAATGCTAATCAACTTCAGTTTTCCTAATTATTTGTGTATCCACTTGCAGTTCGTCAATTTTACAAAAATCATGTCTGAGCGTTCAGCGATGGAAAAGAAGGAAGCAGCCTTTGCTCTTGCCGCACTCATGGAAATTCCGATTCAGTACCGAGCCACACAAAGGCTTCAATTCAGAGAGTGAGTAGCATCTATTTGTGTTCATTTTTCTTGCAAGTAGAAAGCATCTACATGAAGCCTAACCTCTTCAAAATGTGTCCTTAGAAGCAAAAGAGGCCCTCGGACAAGGCCACTTCCTCCTCCTCGTGAAGTAATTGATCATGACAGTGCAGTCAAATCATTGCCACATGCGACAAGCTATGAACCTGCTGACCCTGGAGCTGCAGAAAGAGTAAGTGTTTATTGTATTGTTCTTGCTCTTGTTGTAAACTCATTGATCACAACAGTCTATTTCTTTCGTTCTGTTCATTTTTTTGAATAATATTTTCCATTTTCCTTAAGGATTGTCCCATTTGCTTGACAAACCCAAAGGACATGGCTTTTGGATGTGGTCATCTGGTAAGTGATTATAGAAGTGACACTTAGCTACTATCAGTGTTGAATTCAATTCTTAAAATCTATCCATTGCATAATATTTTCATGTTTCCATGTGGCGTTTGACCCTATAGTCAATTGGAGTATACGATTTGAGAATGTCTAAATGGCCATGTCTTCTTGAATTGCATTAACACTATGCTGCTTAGATCAATTCATTTTCCATAAAGAATGATGACAATAAGGATCTTGTCTTTGAAGGTAAACAAAATGGTGGAAGTTAGTGGTCAGAGAATGACATGTTTAGTTTGCAATTTGTTTTGGTTTCCCTATCCAATCCTTTCAAAGAAATCATTTGAGAGTGTCACTAAATAGTGAGGGTATCATTTTCTGGAATTCCTTACAAACGTTATTCAAAAGGAAAACAAGCTTGAATACTGGCATTCTGACATTTTACATAGTGAAATAACATTCACCTACATTTCCTACTTAATCATGCATATCCTGCCAGAATAATAGAAATTAAGATACTTGTATGAAATAAAGATATCTCTATTTACACTGCACGACTACGGTTATCCTAATGAACTTATTCACTCCAAAGCATTCTTTAAAGCTTGGACAATAAGCACATCTAACCTGTGACTTAGGAGATTCGATGTGTGCCCTATTTGAATGATCATAATGTTTAGCTCTTTCAAGGTCACTTGGTAAGGCTACTTCATCATGACCAATGAAAGGGGGCCCATGTTTAGTGCTTTCAATTGTCCTAGTACTCATGCTGCCACTGATTCTCATGTTCTGGATTCTCCTAGCTCGTATCGTCTAATTTTTGCTATTAGCATTTGAATTTTAGATGACCTACAGCTCTTACTCATGACCGAGAAATGGCTATCAAAAATTTTGCCTTGTGTTTTCTGAATCAGACATGCAAGGAGTGTGGTGTCACAATAACAATGTGTCCTTTATGCCGAGAGCCCATTACAACTCGCATAAGACTGTACGGCTAGATGCACAGTACTATCTCCTGAACTACCTAAAATCCGCAGTTTCTCCAGGATGTCAACTAAAGACGACATTCCGGAGGTGTAAACTTTCCTTGTACCTTGAAGAAGAGCCCTCAGGCTGTCAGTCATATCATAGCTGATGTGAAATATATCAAAACTGTAAATGAGCTGTAACCTATGTATAGCTTATCTAGAATTCTTCACCTGTCCTATTTTTTGTATGGACATTTTTAGTACCTATAGCAAAATGTACATAACTAAATGTATGAGAGACATCTATGTTGATACTTGATATTCTTGTCACTGATTCTGTTACCTCTTTGTTTTTGATGAAAACAAAATTTTCCATACTACTGAAAATCGCCTACTCTATCCATGAGCAAACGATCTTACTACCTTATCTCTCTGTCTTTAATCGGCTTAACCACATAGGATCTTTTCGAGAGTGGAAGGTCAGTGGTTAAGTGACTCTCAAAAGTCAGTCTTTTGTATCGTGTCGAGAAATGACAGAGAGATAAGAACATTCTTAAAGAGTTTATTGTTGAATTGATCTCAAAATTGGATCTCAATAGTAGCTGTTGCCCAAAGGTGCTTTATGGAAGTCAGTTCAGAGCAGTGTAAGTTCATTCAGTTGATCGACCAAAGATCAGTTCTTGCTTCTTCTTTTTTCTGCTTGTTTCGCACGTGTCTTATTTAACCATCACCGACCACTCTACTACCCATAGAGTTCTGGCTCTCACTGGTCAAACTTTCGGAAGTTAAATTGCTAAGAAACATATTCCAGCTACTCCAGTTCTTTCTGTTGCTGTAGGTTCAACTGTCATGTGAGGTCATACGTGCTATTAATGATTGGGACAACATTATATGGGTGGCGGTTCAGAGGTAGTTTTCTGGTGAGGAACCAATAGAGGTGAATTATTTCTCTGAGAAGGTGATGAGTGAGGTGGCTTTTTGAAAGATGAAAGATAGTGAATGGAAGTAAAAAAAAGGAGTCAAACTTGCTCCTAAAGTAACATTGCAAAATGGTCTAGATATCCCTCCATGAATAGTTGGTCGCATGGGGGCGTGGGAGCCATGCTAATCAAATCCAACTAATGCTTATGCACCACTTTTGTAGACGCCTGACCCCAACTATTAACGAAATGCATATCTGGACAATTTCGCTTAGTTCAAGGATAAATTGGGACATTTTCCCTCCTTTAAATAATATCTATTTGGTCTTCATAAAGTTTGTATCTATGCATTGATTGAGTATCCTAAGACTAGTAATAATAAGTTTTGGTACCTTCAATTTTTGAAGCCTACAACAGTTATTTCTGTGCCCTCGGACTAGAGCTGGTCTTGGCAAGGCCCGCAAGGGAATGAATTTCATAGAGCAGATTTTAGCTTAGTCTGATTATCAATTTCATCTTCAGTGTTATGATTTTAGCAGTTATGCATCCATGCCAACAGTTGCTCTTTCACAGTTCCATCCCCTCCAGTCAAAACTAGTGACTCGATCAGAAATATCCTATAAAACATTGACTAAAAAGAGCAACTGACATGTACAAGCAGAATGCAACTTCTTCAAACCAACCACTGTTTTATCAAGGGAAAACTGCTAAAGATATGACAAACTTTTAACTTTGATCACAAGTTCCCGGAGCCAAGTACTTTTTATTGATAAGAGGGAATACAATCCCTGTATTGACATTGAGTATAATTTAATCAATGAAAATTACATGATCAGGCCTTAGCCTAAGATCACTATATAACAAATAATGGACAATTGGCCTAGAGTTCAACAAAAGCCAGTACAAGACTAGTATTTGACTAATAAACAAGCACCGAGCACCGTTGCTTTGAAATCCTTCTCTTTCTCTTCTCATCATCAAATGGCTGCACATAAATAAAGTAATATTTTATATAGAATTCATGTGAAAAGCAATATCTAAACAAATTAACACAAATGGCTAGATTATAAGCAAATGTCCTTATTTAGTTGTGTGATCAGCTTGTAGTGATGATGCTCTTTGGTATTACCTGGGGGCTGAATAAGTGAGGAACTCTGATCCTTTTTGAGCCATCAGGAAGACGTTTGGATGGAAAATGACTCTCTCCAGCCATAAAATCACCACAAACCTGCAGAAAAGGGAGCCAATCTTTTAGAACCCATTCTTGGAGAGCAGTATAGGCATAACAGAAGCAAACTGGTGCAAAATGAAATAAGTGAATCTTCAAGATCACACTAAGAAAGTTTGGTTCCTTAACCAACATTATAAAGGTGTAATCAGATTGCCAAAAGAAGGGCATATATCTGCCGATCTTTCAGATGCCTCAGTTCTATGGAATTTAACAAGAGTACAACCAGTCCTAACTAGCATGATGTGGAAAAGACGGTCACATTTGACCAGAAGGATGAGGCAGAATTAAAAACTAAGTCTAAATGCAGGAGATATCTGCTGGTTTACCTGATTCTGAAGAGTTTCAACCAATGTGTCTTGACAGCATGATGCATGCACACTTTCCAGATTGGGGCATTGAAGTAGCAATCTTTCTGTAGTCAAGTATAAAATTTATAGCTCATTTAAAGAAAGAAAATCCCCAAATTTCAAAGAGATCACAACCTAAATGAGGGTCATGAAGTGCAGACCTGGATTCAAGTTTGTACAAGAGTTCAGGTTCAAATCATTAAGCTCTGGGCAATTTAGATATAATGCCTGCAGGAAAATTTCAATAAGATACAGGAGCAATGACATGAAGAAACCTTATATGTAATACAGATAATTCTTACATCTAAGCCAGAGCAACCCCATAAGCTGAGTTTCTTTAAGCGGCTGTGTTTGATAATCAGTTTCTGATATATAAGGTGTATTTTACTAATCGGTGTTCTTTGTAACTCGCCATTATCATTTTCCCGAGTTGTTGGACTGTCTAAATCTGGATCACATATGGTCATTCCACAGTCCATTATCTCTAGATTAGGCAACTGAGCTGTTGCAAATTGAATGCCACCTAGAGGGTAATCCAACAAGAAAGCAAAAGATATTAGTGAGTATCCTACAAATTATGCTGGGTTTGGATAGTCAAAGAAGCAAATTTGAGTATTACTTGAAGTGATATTTGGACAAAGAGCAAGGAGAAGTTTAGACAATGTCTCTGGAAATACATTGCATATTATCCCAATGCCACTGTCACTAATACTAGACCTGCAACAAGAGAAATAGTTGACATTAGAAATCCAGGCCCATGCCCATTCTCACTGAAGTCGTTGCTGTGACATGAGCAAAATTTTATTCTAAAGTAACTTCCCAATCCACAGAAGTATATTAGCCTCCTAGTCAACCGTCAAAGTTGATTCAATTGCTACCCTAATGTATTGCTAAAGCAGCCTTCAGTATACCATAAAAAGGGCAGCTCTTTTTTTACTTTATGTTTTTTTTGTTTTACTTTAGGAATGTACTGACCTTTGAGGACATTCAGACATCCCAATAAAAAGAAAATAAAACTTGTAGAAAAGAATTCACCTGTCATACTACTTGGATAATATTAGAATATGTCTACTTATAACCTAACACTCCATTATTTTCCGTCCCCGACAATATGGAGAAACCAAAGAAAGCGCCAAGAAGTGAAACTTACCCACTCAAATCAAGTAACTCAAGCCTTGAGTAGCTCGAAGCAATAGCAGCGACAGATGCATCAGTTATTTCTGACCCTAGTACAAGGGAAAGCATTCGTAATCCCCTGAAATTTAAGGCAGTAAAATTGAAACAAATAAGCTTCATGAAGGGATATTAGATGTATCTTCATAAAAGACAAAGTTGTCAAGGAAAAAGTGTAAGAATCCAAAATCAAAGACCATTACAAACCTTAAATTTGCTGCTGTTAGAGCAAGCACAACAGCATGTGTAAGCCGAACAGAAGCAACATGAATGTTCTGTAGTCTTGGGCAGCTCCTTCCAAAACCATCTACCATAGCAGTAAGATCAGTGGTATCCTTCTCTTGGCGAGAAAAATCCAGGGAAATCTCCTTTAAATTGGGGCAGTTGAAGACCTAAGCAAGTGAATACATGTAAGACATAGGTTTGTGCCAGGGAAAATGGACTAAACTTGGATAGCTATTTGTGTGACTTAATGCCATAATGTCATCAAACAGTTTACCGTCTTAGAGTGACAAAAGAGATCCGAAAGGCAAAGAGTGGAAAGGCTGGTTGAAGAAAGAGTAAAGGGCCCAAGATTTGAACAGCCTTCCATCTTGAGATTGGTAAGGCACCTTCTGTCAGCAACAAAACGGCCTAATTCATCCCTATATAAGACATATGGGTTTTACTAGATACCATTAGATCACATTAATGTTGATAATACTTTCAAAACATTACTGAATAGAAAAATAGGCCAGCTCTTGAAATTCTATTAGGGTCTTCCAGAAGATGTCTAATTATGCAAAAATTACCAGCATTATAATTTGGACACCAATTAAGATATTAACAGTAAAACAATATGGATGCCAAATAAGAACAGATCATGTTGGGCCAATTCAAAAAAAAAAAAAACAAGTTTGATACAGCTATGATTGGCAGATGAGATTCATGTAATGTTTCTCGTGTGATACTATAAAAATACCATGCCATTTTAATATGGTTTATAGTGTGAGGTAGATAACATGGATGTGCAGTCATACAAAATTAGATAAGACTAAATATAATCACATTTGACAGAAGAGGTAAGAACTAACATAGAGGATAAATAAGAGAAGGTTGTTTGAGATGCATCAATATATAGGTGTAAAACTATAGTGATTGACAGTATTAAAAGGGAGCGAGAACACAATGCAATAAAAGTTATTTATAGGGATTAAAGCTCAAACATGTTGATACACTTACTTTTACCTATGTTCATTAGAAGTGTTTTGATCTTGTTAGATATTTGTATACTGATTAAAAATGCAGGGAAGATCTAATGGTAATCTGTAAGAAAACCTAAATTATTGAATAGTGGATAGAAAAGGATCTAAATCAAGCAAAATGAATAGCGAGGAATCATATATCAACTCCAACTAACTTGGAATTGACACATAATTCATGTAGTTGTTAGAAAGTGAAGTAGCATAATCACTGACTTCCCAAACATAGCCCTTTGCATTCAATGAAACTGAAAATGAATGAATAAACTAGCAACAAATCCATTGGCAAAAGAGTACTGCTAACAACAGTACCAGCTAAAGAAATCAAGATCCACAAAAATAATCAGGAATATTCTACTTGTGCATTGACTCATCATAAAGCGCATATGCTGCATATGACTTATGAAAGATAGTAGACATAATCTGACCAAAAGACAACTATGATATTCATTTGCTATAATTAGAGATCCGAAGCATACCCTGTGATCCGATTAACTGAGGTATCTGAAGTAAGAATCTCCATTGAATCCAGATTAGGGCAGGAGAATGCAATGCAGGCCAACATTGTTGCATCCACATCACTGTCAACACCAAAAACAGTAAGTTAATAGTATTTCATATGATATACATCAATATCTTCATTAGCCTTCAATAAAGCTGCTGTTTTTATTCATTAAAAAGCCAATCCAGTTAATAAATCTATAGATCTAAGTTCTAACCATCATTCATTAATTAAGCCAACCTTTCCATTCTAAGTGAAAGCTTAACAAGTCCAGGACACTTCTGCAACACCGATCCAACAAGCCCAATTTGAGCTTTCACAGGAACTCCAAGTCGAAGCTCTTCAGCCGACTTCCAGATCCTTCTAGAAACATCCCTCCAACCCTTGCACACCTTCGCCGCAGAAAGCAGCGCTGATGGAGGCAATCTCTTAAGCACTTCCCACAAAGCACTCGCTGGTAACTTCCCGGACCCACCTAAATCCAACTCATTCTCCAGATCCAAACATTCCACGTCATCATCATCCGATCCAGGCGACTCAACATCGCTGACATCGACGTCATCGAAAGAAAGCGCTCGCCGAAGCTGGGGAAGTGGCTGATGTGGCGGGGGCAGAAGTTGCTGAGGACGAATAACAGAGAGCGGAGAAGGGAGAACAAAGGATTTGGATTCGCTAGGCAGGGGAGTAGGAACTTCAGTAGGATTATTATCATTAAGGTCCTTAGAGATATGGCAAACGTGGCCTTTTTTGGGTTGCCCACATCGGCCGCAGTTGTAGCTACCGCGTTTTTTGCCACGCTTGTGGACGAAGGCGTCGGAGATGGGGGTGGAGGGGTGGGGATGGGGGATTTGCATTTTTTGGATTTGAGAGTGAAAATGATTTGACTGTGTGAAAGTGAAGGGGAGAGGAGAGAATCAAGGAGATGAGTGTGTGTGTGTGTGTGTGTGTGATAGGGGCGAAGAAATAAAAGGCGGGGGATGTGGGTCGGAAAGGCGCGGGAGTTTTGGGGAAATTTGGCGCCTGTGTCTTTGAATTTTATATTTGTAAATGGGGTGGAGCGCTTGAAGGAGCGTGTTATGTGCTACTGTGTCGTCACCCACCTGGCTCGAGTGCTAGAAAGTAATGATTTTTATCTTTGTTTTGTTATATTTTTTATTTGGAACTCTTTATCTTGCCCATAATTGTCCTTTCAATTATTTTCTTTCCTTTTTTCCCTCACTTGTAGGAGATTGAGTTGCTTATTCTTTTAAGGAAAATATATTACTTTTTTGTGAATTTATCTTAAATTGAGATGTTTTTACTTAATTTTATTCCAGTTTTGTGAAAGGGAGTAATCTCATATTTCACCTTGAATTAGTAAAAAAATAAAGAATTTCTTACTCTTCATGAAGGATTAAATTCAATAATTGGATATTTTGTTGACCATTACCATTTAGCTATTATAATTCTTTTTCTAGTAAGCGGGTCACAGATATAACATCAACGGGATCATGGACTAGTGACGAGCGCAGAACATAATATTAAATTAAGCATGTGATGCATCAAAAATAGTATAGAAAAATGTTGAACGTATAGGAATTGGAGCAGTTATCAATTAATTTTTTCTTGGCTAAGTGAAAGTAAATTCAAGTATGTTTTTTTGAAGTTCTAAAATAAGAATTTAAAGTGATCTAAAGTTCTAAACTAATATTTAAAAAAATTACCAAAGGAAGAAGACAAGGAACTTGACTTGAGATGATTAATTCACAATTTGTTTCTTGAGTTAATATCTATTTTTGAACATAAATATTAATTACTTCTCTTGAATAAAAAAATCAATTAAACGAAGTCTCATCTCAAATAACCATTAGTCTAACGATTCTAGAAAAGCATTTAGAGTTCAACAAGTATATGAACAATAAGTAACATGTTATAAAACAATAAAAGTAGAAGAACAATATTGCAGAGACAAGACAGAGAGAGGGAGAGAATTCTTATTGATATGGGATGAATTGCAATAGAATAGAACCCTCTATTTATAGGGAGATGGTGACTTAGCCACCAAGCAATGAATCCTAAAATCTCTCTAAATATAGACATTCACCATAAATACAATTCTATTTATAACACTCCCCCTTGAATGTCTATTCAACAGATAATGTGCCTCGTTAAAACCTTAACTAAAATAAAACCCAGTGGGAGAAAAAATTATAGTAAAGGAAAAAGAGTACACATATCTAACAATACGCCTTTTGGTTGCCTCGTTAAAAATCTTGCAAAGAAAACCCGGTGGGACAAAACCCTGTAAGGGAAAAAGAATACAACGCGTATTAACTCCCCCTGATGAGAGCATCAATTCACATCCTTAAGCATTTGCATTCCAATCCTGTGCACCATTTTCAAAAGATCTTTGGTAGAGATTTGATGAATAAATCAGGCATATTAACTTGAATGAATATATTGCACCTTGAAATCATCATTCTTGATAGAGATGAATTGTCTTCATACGATCTTGTTGGAATCGGCAGTTCAATATCTTCACATAGAGGTGAAACTCTTGCTATCATATTATCATGCATATAGTTATAGCAAAATACATTTGTGCACAAATTGCACTGAGGAAGTCGTACTTCAAGATCAAGAATTGTATATGCTTCAAGCAACTTAAATCCTTCATGGATTGTCATATAAGTTAAGTCATATAAGTCATATAGTAGACTTTAGATGCATATCAAGTTTTCATGTCATACTAGACATATAAGATATCGAAAACTGATCACATATCATTGACTTTATACTTTCAAGTATATATATATATATATATATATATATATAACGCTATCATAGATGTCGTCGACAAACATTTTATATCAGTTTCAATATTTTTTCATAAAGACATAACATAGAGATCTCTTCATTCATATTTTCAGGTACCTGAATCTCTCATGAGATTTTATGAAGTGTTATGTCATGTGATCTTCTAGATCACTTGCCTCCTTTATTATGATCATTTTGATCATTTGCTCATCTTCTTTATCAAGAAGTTTATTTGAAACCGATTTGTCTATACGCTTTAAGCGTACCATAGACTTTGTCCTTCTAGGACTTAATAGGAGCATTTGCAATGAGAATATAGTTACTTTCTTTGGGTCAGCAAATGCGTCTGGCTTGCTTTGCAATAAATTGCACATGAATTATCCTTTTATGAACTTCAAGTTCATATTATTTTATTCGGGGATCTAGATGTATAAATGATAATTCATTCCATGTAACTTTTTCTCAACTGTTGTATCTTGTCTCCCCCTCATGTTAGAAAAACTAACTTGTTTCCTCAACTTTGAGAACCCATCTTTGTGCGTTATGGTGTTAATCAAAATATACACCGCACATCAATAATAATGAGATAGAATTATTTGGTTCCTGACCCTGAAACCACTTGTGAGGGGAGAATGTAATATACTTTCGTATATAACCTATATCAAACTGATATAGATAACTTTGTTCTCATAAGCAATAGTTTAGCTATTAAGTGGAGGCACTCAATAAATCATTTTGCTAAACCAACTGTGATGTAAACCAACTTATCAAGATGAACTATCTTGAATAAAAAATCTGGAAATTATGCTCTAAATTAAATTATTGAGCAAGTTACCTCGCAAACACCAGGTTGTGGGTTAATAATAATCGCACATGTAACCATCTCATAGATGCATCTTATGTGGTATACATGGCAGGTGAATGGGCCCATATTCACCTTCGATATTTCCAGCATTTATGGGATTCAATCCCAATTTTAGTCGGTCTATTAATTAATGAGAACAAGCAATGTAAGAGAATTCGTAAAGAACTTTCTAGTTCTTTAATATTTACCCATGTGAACTCTCTTTTATTTTTGCACATCCACTTGAATTAACATGGCTAAACCAATTATGCCAACTGGATAAATTATCAATATTGATAAACTTCAGGTTTACACCATGATATGTGCAATTATGAATAAACTCCAAATTTATTATGATATGGGTTTTTATATCAATAAATATCCACTTCATTGTGGTACTCTTTTGTTTATGTAGTACAAATTGGAGAATAAAGCGGGTAGCTTTTCACATACATAGAACAAATTGGAGAATAAAGCGGGTAGCTTTTCACATACATATTACCCCACTACAAGTTGTAGTAATAGAAGATATTAAATCTTTCCTTTATTTATAGTCTCAATATAATCAACCGCTTTCGCGTATACTTTGGAAACTGAATAAGTTTCTTTGAGACTTACTACAACACAATACCTTATTGGTAATTAATTGTGTTTCTCCAAAATAGTATAATTGGCTCTTGCAGAGTTCTCAATTAATTTTGTAGTACCACATATTCATCAACACCTATATGGTGAATATCTCTTTTAAAGAGAAAGTTGTACCATTATGGTTATGGTCAAAATTATATGCAAGATCTGTTTCTTGCATTACCGTTGTCTTTTAACAATCACAATGCCAAAATATTTTGGCGTACAATAGGTACGTGACCAATGACCATTCATGCCATAATAATGACATTATTTTCTTATATCATCTCAAACCTCCTTTTAGAGGTGAGTGCGGTATATTCACTACCACTAGCACGTCCATATTGTTCCAAAAATAAATATGTATTAATAAATCACATGTTGTCACATTCACATCATGAATGGACCATAATCATTTATATGTGCTTTACAAATCTCATGTCAAATGGATGACAAACATTACTTTCACAGAGTGAAGGATTGTTTTGAGAATCCTTATTATTCTCATTATCACAATGATGACAATTATAATTTCGTCTATTATCATGTCCATATTCATTGATACCTTCACGATAATAATTTTGTCTTCTTTCAGACTTATCATATATTGCTACCACATTCTCTTAAGGGAATGAGAATGAAGCAAATTCAATGGGACAAGTTTTCAGTTCTTGTGCTCGCGATCATACATGACTTTGATCATGGCAAGACATAGAAATTTTACCACTTCGAGTGGTTATAATTTCTTACTAACTCCATTAGAGTTATAATCAAATTTATTTTCCTTGCTTGTATTTAAAATCAAATTATAAAATGAAAGAAAAAAATACGGTAAAATACATACCTTAAATCCAGAATAGAGAAAAATAAGATAAAATACTTACCTTAAATCCAGAATTTAATCATGAAGAAAGTTCATGGAACAATTGACAATCATTATGCTCAAACCCAAAACTTCTACTCAATTGGTTAGAGTCTCGTGTTGATAACGTGTTATAAAACAATAAAAGTAGAAGAACAATATTGCAGAGAAAGAGAGAGAGGGAGAGAATTCTTATTGATATGGGATGAATTACAATAGAATAGAACCCTCTATTTATAGGGAGATGGTGACTTAGCCACCAAATAATGAACCATAGAATCTCTCTAAATATAGACGTTCACCACAAATACAATTCTATTTATAACATAACAGATGTTAAGATTATTAGAACTTCTCACGAATATCCCAACGCTTTAAAGATGCTTTATAACCAGTCCTCTCTCAAATAAACAGGTTATAGAGTATTAATCCTATAATATATTCTTCTCACGAATAAATAAACTACGGCAATCAATTCAAGTACTATCAAATTTATTAATTCTCTTGAGTATGATATAGTCAAACTCAAAGGATATCAACAATCATACACAGATATTAAAACAAGAAACTAAAGCCTAGGCTAATTCATCATCAAGTTCCCATAGGAAATTATTCCATGAAGTAGTTCATATTATAAGTGGGCGTTTGGACATAAGAATTGTAAAACTCCGGGAAAAAAAAATCAAGCATATTTGAAAATTAGAGTTGTGTTGGACATAAATATAATTTTAGGTTGTTTTTGAATTTTTGTGAGTGATCTGAGTGAAAATTTTCAAAAAACTAATTTTTTGGAGTTTTTTAAATTTTCGATTTTTTTTAAAATTCATCTTCAAGAAGTTAAAAATTTTATGGCCAAACAC